GGGAGGTCTGGGTCACAGAGAGTGAGAGTAGGAGGGGGCATGGACGGGAGGACTGACAGAGGGGTGACATCAGAAAGCGCAGGGGCAGGGAGGGGAGCCAGTGCAGGGCAAGGGGCCAGGCAGGGGGCTAGGCGGGGGGCCAGGCAGGGGAGCCAGGCAGCAGGGCCGGGCAGGGGGCCGGGGGAGCCAGGGGGCAGGGCCAGGCAGGGGAGCCAGGGGGCCAGGACCAGGCAGGGGGGCCAGGCAGCGGGCCAGGGGGCAGGGCCAGGCACCCACCTGCAGGGCCGGTGCCCGCAGGCAGTTCACCAGGTAGGGCTTGTTGGTCTCCAGCAGCGAGACGAAGGCCAGGAGCTGGTGCCGGCTGCTCAGCCCCTCCTGGGAACCTGCAAAGCCACAAGAGGGGCGATCAGCTCAGCCCTGCGCAGGGGCTGGGGCAACCACGGGGCGGGGGGCAGGGCCCACAGCCCCACTGCTCTGAGCGGAGCCAGCAGGCTGGGGGGCTGGGTTGGGCTTCAGGGGCCCTGGCTTCCAGCCCCGGCTCCCCCCCAGACACCCTGCCTGACCCCAGCTAGTGCCCGCGTCTCTCTGGGACGCAGTCGCTCTGTGCCGCAGGGAGAAGGGCCCTTGCTGGGTCGGGTTGGACTGGGAGCTCCCCCTGCGTCGGGGCACCAAGGGGCTGGGGCCGGGCCGCCCCCCGTCCCTCTCCCTACCTCGGCTCCTCCCCGGCTCTGCTTTCTCCTCCGTGGTCTGCAGCAGCTCCGGGCTGCCGGCAAAGACGCAGGTCGGGTGCAGGACAATCCCCTGCTTGTTCTTGGTGTGAAAAATCTACAAGGAGACCAGATGAGGCGTCAGGGCCAGGGCCAGGGCCAGGGACTGCAACGGGTGCTGGAGACCCCAGCCTGGGGCACAGCTCTCACGGGCTTCCTCCTTCGCAGACTCCCAAACCTCTAGCCCAGACCCCACCCCCTCCCAGAGCTGGGATAGAACCCAGGAGTCCTGGCTCCCAGCCCCCCCTGCTCTAACCACCAG